ACAAAAGTCCTATCTCCCGAAGTGGACCACGTGCCCAGAAATATCATACCACAACTCCTTTTCCCCTCCCAAGCGAGGTCTAGCCGACTCTGCAGGAACCTGTGAATCAGCATGGGGTCTCCACCATGCATCATCACGTCCAACCATGGACTGAAATAAGTCTCCCTATAAAGGGCCTCTCAGGCAGGAGTCAATGCCTCCCTAATAGATGATGAGAGAGCTACCTGGCACTTGAATGTCAAAGACACCTAGTGAAATCCTCCTACATAGTAATTCAACCAGTTGTTATGATTTTAGCAACCAAATAAATTAGTACATAAGTACAGGGATCTAATGTAAGTACTCTAATTATACGGACCTAATATATAACTAATTTAAATACAGGGACCTAATATGTAACTAATCTAATTACAAGGATCAAATCTATAATTATTGTATATACATGCACCTAATCTATAATTATGGTAAATATATAGACATACTATGTATCATGGTAAGTACAGGGTCCTAATGTGTAACTAATATAATTATAAGAACCAAATCTATAATTATTGTATATACATGCACCTAATCTATAATTATGGTAAATATATAGACATAATATGTATCATGGTAAGTATAGGGTCCTAATGTGTAACTAATATAATTAAAAGAACCAAATATGTAACTATTCAAAGTATAAGGACCTAATTTGTAATTATGGTAAGTAAAAGGACCTAATTTGTAATTATGGTAAGTAAAGAGACTTAATTTCAAATTACGATAAGTACAAGGACCTAGTATGTAAATATTGTAAGTGTAAGGACCTAATTAGTATATATGGTAAATACAAGAACCAAATCTGTAACTATTTTATGTATAGAGACACAATCTATAAATACTATAGGTGTAGAGACCTAATTTGTAAGTAATCTAATTGTAGGGACAAAATCTATAACTATTCTTAGTATAGGGACATAATTTGTAAATATGGTAAGTATAGGGACCGCATTTGTACTTATGGTGAGTAAATGAACCTACTTTGTAATTATGGTAAGTAAAGGAACTTAATTTATAATTATGATATATAGGGACCTAATATGAAAGTATTGTAAGTGCAAGGACCTAATTAGTATATATGGTACATACAAGGACCAAAATTTATAATTATTCTATGTATAGAGACAAAATTTGTAAATACTCTAGGTGTAGAGACCAAATCTGTAACTATTCTAAGTACAGAGACCTAATTTGTAAGTAATTTAATGTAGAGACCAAATTTGTAACTAATCTAAGTCTAGGGACCTAATTTGTAATTATAGAAAGTAGAGGGATCAAATGTGTAAATATGAAAAATACAGGGACCTAATCTGTAAATATTAAAAATACTATAAAGGCATTGCATGAATAAGGGATCAAATATTGAGTTATAGGTCTAGATACGCATTTATCAAAATACGGAAAAAAAAGTCGAAATGTTTTTCCAAGGTGGACCAAGAACTGGGTTACACAATTGTGGACCTGTTCTTGGTCACCCCGGAAATTTTTTTCGACTTTTTTCTTTGTTAGATCTCGTCTTATAAAGAAATCAGTAAACTAACACATGCATTCAAACTACAAAATCATACGCTAGAAAACAAGAAAACTTCAAACTACAAAATCAAACGACAACAAAAAGTACAAAAATGTTTTATGTTCACAAATGGTTACGAAAAACTTACTTCACGAGCCATTAGCAAGGGTTGCAAAATTACTGACGTGGAAAGTAGGTTTGCAGGAATAGTCACGTGCACGTGCATTTTTTTTTTTTTTTTTGCGAAGACAGATATTTGGGTAAAGATTTTGGTCCCCACAACGTATTATTATACATAGAGAAAGGAAAAAGATCTACAGCTTCGTAATTTGAGAGAACATAGCTATCAGGTTAAAAATAAATTTATAAAATAATTATTTTAATCAATTTCCCTTTCTAAAATATATTTTAAGAAAATTAAGATAAAGTAAGTTTTAATATTATACAAGTACAATTTACCTTTTTTAAAACAACAAAAAATAGTTTTATTTTAGCATATTCTCATAGGCTTTTTAGGTGTGGCATACACCTATATAATCATAATGAATAGTTTATATTCACATGTGCATATAAGATGATGTTTGGTATCTATCACCCATGAATATTGGCCCCGAAAAAGAATGACCATGAGTATATGGGTGCCCCTACACCATTACAAAAAAGATTCCACATGATAGTAACAGATTAAGACATAAAAAATGAAAGCAACTTTGAAAATAATAGCATTTAAGTTTTCGATATTTTTTTCTCCGTATCTTTTCTGCTCAAAAACTCTTTTAAAGAGTAATATTCTAGAGGTTCCACATATTCTCACATGGTATCAGAATGGTATCAAAGTTAAGATTCACCATTCTAAAGACTCGACACTCTGAGGCAGTCTGAACTCGTCGTCTAGCCCTCTCTCAACATTTTGGAACAATCCGTTACCTTATGTTGGAGGGGGCATGTTATAATCCTACATTGACTAGACTTTGAATATTTCTCCTCTGCAGTATTTTGAAACCTCCCTTCTCTTATCAACGGTTTTTCAGAAAGAAATTTTAAGGTTTCACATATTCTCGTAACTTTTTCCTCAAATAAATTGTACTTTAGGGAAAAAATTACATTAAAAAACTAAAGAATTACAAAATTAAAGAAATAGATACCCACCATAACTGGACAAAAACCGGTCCCAAAATTTCTCATAACCGGCCGTAACCGGTCCCGGTTATTGAATATTTGACGATACATTCGATTTATAATGATTCCTTATGGGTTGAATCCTCAAGAGTATAATATACTATCTCTCAACTGCTTCAGAGAAACACCATGCGGCATTGCTCCGTCAGGCTTTCGCCCATTGCGAGAGTCGGCGACTCATAGCCAGTGGCTTGGCTCCCGTTCGAAAAAGTAGAGCCCAGTCAAACTTTACTATAACTGGTAATGGGCCGCCGGTCCCGGTCATTTAAAAATTAATTTTTTTATTTTTTTTTAATGATATATATTTTTAATACATAATAAAATTTGTAATTAGGTCACTCAAATATATTTTAAAAATGCGTTTTATTATAATTAAAATTACATTGTCTTACAAAATATAGCGAGAAACCGATAATTATGAACGTTTTTTTTGCATTTTTTGCGAATCGAGAACTTGATATGTAAATCTCTCAACCAATACACTTATATATAGTGTTTATAAAGCAAAAGATACAAAAAAAGCCCAAAAAAAGGGCTAGTTTTTTAAAAAAATAACGGCTACATTTTTTAAAAATCGGTCTGGGTCGGTCCGGGCCGGGCCATAACCGGTGCCGGTCCCACGAAACACCCCAAATACATAACCGATCCTAGATTTCAGTCTTATAATCAGTCCCGATCCTTCGGCGGTTCCGGACCGAACCGGACCGGTTTGGCCATCACTAACCTTAACACAAAAAGGTCAACCCAATACCACTTAAACTAACAAGAGGCCCAAAATACCAAATTCCAATAGAATACAAATAATCTTTTGTAGCCCAAGGCCCAGGGAAAGTTCACACAATGAAACAATGAAATGGGGTTTTTTATTTTGTTACAATTTTATTTACAAAAACGTTTTCATTCAAATTGGTTTATCCACGACACGATGAGCGGTAGGGCTGTGCAAAACCCGAACCAACCCGAATTACCCGAATTACCCGCCCGATGCAATCCGACCCGAACCTCTAAAAACTGCCCCGAACCAACCCGACACCCGAATCCGAGTTTTAAATCGGGTATAGCGGATCGGGTAGGGTCTCACGACCCACGCCCCGAACCCGCCCGAAACCCGATTAGGCTTATACCTAAGGACGCGACTTCAAGTTAGGTCAAAATTCGACTTGTATGTTAGGTCAAAATTCGAAAGCGTCTTATGTCAAAATTGGAGAGTAGAGCGTACGACTCCGACTAGGCTACACAACCGTCCGACTCCGACATCGGCTTGGCCATTAACAGTAAGGAGCATCGACATCGGCTTGGCCATTAACCGTCCGACTCCGACTGTCCGACATCGGCTTGGCCATTGAAGAGAAGAGCGTATTGACTGTTGGCCATTAACAGACAACAGTAAGGAACATCGACATCGACATCGTATCGAATTGGTAATTGCTCTAAATCGATTAGGTAATATACTGTTTTGTATATTAAATCTCTGTGTAAAACAGTATTATAACAGTATGTATGACTCTGTGTATTGGTAATACGGGTTATTGGTAATATTGCTCTAAATCTTTGCAAAACAGTGTATTATACCTAGGGCTGTGCAAAACAGTGTATTAATATTGCTCTAAAACTCTGCAAAACAGTGTATTAAATCTCTGTGCAAAACAGTATTATAACAGTATGTATGACTCTGTGTATTTCACTATATATGTATGTGTATTTCAGCTTAGTCTTAAAGGTTGTCTATTTACGTGTTTAATGGACTTACAACTTAATTTGTATACTCAAGAATTTGCTCTTTGTTTTCTTCTTTATATACGATCTTTTATAGTTTTTGTTGTAAAAAATGGTAACTTTGCAATTAGTGGCTTAAATATCTAAACCTTGAACAATGAAGAACATGAATTACCTTATGTTTAGCTTAACACAAAACTTGGTGGTGACTAGGTATCCATTTAAACAGTTTGTAGATCTGTTTCTTATGAGTAAATCTGATTCTTATGGTATTTGCATCAAGTTGTTGCCTATATAGTAGTAATTGAGAGTAATGACAAATTTCCTCAAAGTAAACAGTCATTGACAATCAATGTGCTCAAATTTCCTCAAAGTAAACAGTCATTTACCATAAATGGTTCTTTTCCTTTTCAAGCTAGACTTCTTGTTGTTTAAAGTACAACTAGAATAGTTCTTTTCCTTTTTAGTTCTTATTAACTGTTAAATTTTAACCCTTGTTTTGTTTTCTTCGAGGTGGTGATATATTGTTATATTGTTTAGAATTGTATTGTAGATGGAAAAAATTAGCACGTCTCAATCCGGAAGTAACAGTCATCAAGCTCCTCCGACACAATCTAATCCTACCGTAAGTCAATCTGTTCCGGAAAGTACAAGGAAAAGGAAAACGTTAGAATCCAGATCTCAAGTATGGGACCATTTTGAGAAGATTTTAAACGAGGATGGGGTAGTCATTAAAGGTAAGTGCTTATATTGTTCAAAAATATATGCAGCTGAGGCTAAAAAGCATGGTACTTCCTCTTTAAATAGCCACATGAAAGCTTGTTTAAAGAATCCACATGCATCAAGCAATGACATTGCCGTTGGGTTCATGAAAAACAAGGTGGTGAATTGGGGTGGTTCTTCTATTAGGGCAGAGTACATACATATGAGATGCATTGCTCATATTCTTAATTTGGTTGTACAAGATGGATTGAAATTAGCAGATTCATYAGTYAAGAARATTAGGGATTRCATTAGGTGGGTGAGGGGTTCTCCATCTAGGTTGAAGAAGTTTAGAGAACTTGCAGAATTGCTTGAAGTGAAAGAGAAAAGTTCCTTATGTCTTGACGTTCCAACTAGATGGAACTCCACGTATATGATGCTTCGAACCGCAATTGGTTACATACAAGTTTTTGAAACGTATGAGAGTAGTGACAGCGCGTTACATATGGATTTGGGAGATTCGCTGCCTTCATATCTTGATTGGTTATCTGTTGACAGCTTGGTCGTATTTTTGAAGACATTTTATGAGATGACAATTAGAATTTCTGGCTCACTTTATGTCACCTCAAATTCTTTCTTAACCGAGATTTCAGATTTGAGTTGCATTATTGCCGATATGTTACAATCTACGTCAAAAGTTGAAGAGGTATGTTTATCTTCCTTTAATATTTCCTTTACTATTTACTTATATTTGGTTGCTTACTAACTTTCTGTTTTTGATTTATGAACAGGAAATGGGTGTTAAAATGAAAGAAAAGTTCAGTAAATATTGGGGTGATCCAGATAAGATGAACTTCATCATATTTTTTGGCAATATATTGGACCCCAGAGACAAGGTTGAGTACATGCAAGTCCAGCTCAATCAAATGTATGGTGAGGATCAAGGTAAGTCATGCCTTGAAAAGGTAAAGTCTAAATTGGATATGTTGTTTCAAGAGTATGTATCAACATATTCCGAACCGTCTACCACTATGATGCCTCCTCCACCCACTAAGTGTGAGAATGTTCCCGTTGGAAGGGTACAGTCTAGATTAAAGAGCCAACTTAAGAAACAAAAGATGGAAAGTGGGGCTTCACTCAACAAAAAGAGTGAACTTGAACTTTATCTAAGTGAGTCGACCATAGATGAGACAAATGATTTTGATATTTTAAGATGGTGGAAGGTTAATAGTGAAAGGTTTCCTGTTCTTTCAAAATTGGCTAGAGATGTGCTTGCTGTTCCAATTTCAACTGTGGCATCTGAGTCTACTTTTAGTACTAGTGGCCGGGTCTTAGATAATTTTAGGAGTTCTTTATCGCCTAAAATGGTAGAAGCCCTGATATGTACACAAGACTGGCTAAGAGGCCCTAGTCAGCCAATTGCAGTTGAAGAAAACATAGCTGATATTGAAAAGTTTGAGAAAGGTACGACATTAGTTGTGTATTCAGTATTTTCATATTCCTTTTCAACTTTAATTTGTATATTTATATAATTATATACTTCTTTTAATTTGTTTCTTTAAACACAGAAATGATGAATATGAGACTAGGAAGTTCAAGTTCTGTCAATGATCAAGAGGATTCTCTTCCGGTTCCAGCTGTTGATGTGGATGATCTAGAGCTAGACAGCTAGTTAGCTAGATGATATATTGTACAAGTGGTCACTTTGAAGTTTGAATTTTGAAAGGTATTTTAATTCTTTATACAATATAGTTTGGCTATGAATGTGTTTGATTTTACATATTGTTGGTACATGCACAGATTATGAGGTCATTTTGGTTTTCTTAGTTATAAACATTTTTAGAAACTGCCAAAAAACAGCAGGTAGCACCTAGCAATCATGATGAAAAGGGGGGAAAAATGGTAAGGAGTTATTCCATATTCAACCCGAACCCGACCCGATTAGGCCCGAACCCGATTAGGCCCGAATCCGATTAGGCCCGCAATCCGAACAGTGTATTACGGGTTTATGGTCTCCACCCCGAAACCCGATCGGGTTTGTCAATATCGGGTCCGAACCGACCCGACCCGACCGTTGCACACTCCTAATGAGCGGAAAAAAGTTATATTCGACTCCAAACTCGGAGAATTTCATCATCTCTCATACTTTCTCTATCTTGGAGAAAGTTTTGGAGAATCTGTTGAAGCAAAAATTCAATTAAAATCTCTATTTTGAAGAATCTGTTGGAGATGCTTTTGAAATCTAAACATAGTCGTAAAAGTGAGAATACGCTTGTTAACAAGTGGAAGAAGGCATCAACTAAGGCCAAGACTGAACAGGTGATTTCATGTTGATAATAGTAAGTTTATCTGTAACATGTTAAAGATATATAATGTTATTGACCGTCTAAGGCCCAGAACCATGTGCAAGGGCTACAATCTTAGTCGTTTTTTAGTACTTATGAGCTTATAATACATATCGTAGTATGTCGTAAATTAAAGGGGCGTATAAGGAATTTGGTAGAATCAGAATCCGTTATAGGAATTGCAATGGACTTCAATGAAGTTTGACCATGCATTTGGTTGGCAGGATTTGAAAGAGGAGTTATAATGTGAATGTTTGGTTGACAGAAGTATTTATTAATTGGAGTGAAATAATAATAATAATAATAATAATAATAATAATAATAATAATAATAATAATAATAATAATAATAATAATAATAATAATAATAATAATAATAATAATAATAATAATAATAATAATAATAATAATAATAATAATAATAAAATGACTAAAATACCTCCTTAATAATATTTTCATACTTTCTACTTAAATTATAAATACTATATAATAATACTTATTGGGAACAACGGTGGTGGCGACAACGTGGTGGTCATGGCAACGGCAGTGAGGATGGAGGAGGGGACAAGTGCTTGAAGTTAAACTCTTCTGACTTATAATAAGTTGACAAGTGTTTTCGTAGAAAAGCATAAGTTGTTTCAAATAAGAAATCCCAAACACCCCCTTAGTTAACGTTTTTTTTACTGGTAACGAGCTACTTCAATCGTTAACAATATTTAAACGTTGGTTTTTGAAACCTTTATTGTTGTATTACTTTGATCATCAATGTTTCTATCATCCACATCAATTTGTATATGTTGTTGCATCTGAAAGGGTTAATCGCTTGCAAAATGGAATCTGCGAATTAGATCGTATATAAATCAAGTTTCTTACAAACGATGTATCTTGTTCTAACTTAGTTTTTATTACACCTTAAACATTACATATAAAACTTTTTATTTAAAATATTAACTGGTTTATAGTGCAACATCAGTTATTCACAGTGTATAACCTGATGATGGCTCCACCACACTACGTTCTGCAGATAAGGACGAGGATATCAGAGAATGTGGCTCATGAACCGTTACCTGATCGTCATGTGACACGATCAAGTGGGGGAAATTAACCTTTGCTCGTCTACCATGAAACTTAAAAGCTGCTTTATCATAAGCTAATGCAGCTTTCTCGGGTGCATCAAATGTACCAAGCCACAATCTCGTATTTTTCTTTTTGGGTATCCTTATCTCTGCATAAAACTTCCCCCACGACCGCCTCCTCACTCCTCGATATTGCATCCATTCCTCTGACCCGTGGTCTTTATCTGCCACCTGCCTTTTCGTTTTCTTTGAACACTGTGATTCTGTTTCACACTTGCCAATAAAATTCAAACAGATACCGCCTAGTTCTTTTTTCTCAAGTGAGAAGAGACCATCTTGACTTACGTTCAAGTCCTTACTCTGGCTCATCTCGATTTGCATTGATATTCAAATACATTAGCGGATTATAAAGGGTTTTCCAAAACGAGCATATGCTTAAATAATTCGGGTTTTTAATCATCCATGTTTATAGAAGATATATTATTTTAACCAACAACATATTCAATTTGTGGGTGCTTCATTGAGATTATTTATTCTACTAACTACACACACGCACACATACACACATATAGTGGCATATCCAAGATTTTTGTTTAGCGAGGTCATCTTTAAAGTAGACTAAAAACCTCTAAATCGTTCGATGTGTTTTTAACCTAATTACAACGTTTCGAGGAATTTTTAAAGGTTTTTTGGTTGATTTCGAGAGATTTTTTAGTGTTTTTGTCGATTTCGAATAACTTTTTTTGTTTTGTTTTTTTTTTTTTTTTTTGATTGATTTCTATAGATTTTTTTGGTTAGAGTAACGGTTTCGATTGGGGTTGGGGTCTGTGGAAAAATGTTATGGGGGGAACTAAAAAGTAAATCATGTAAAACCTAAGAATTTTTATCTTATTTTATTTTTTTTAAGTTTTTGACAGGGGTCTTTTCCCTTTTTTTTTATTATTATTATTATTATTATTATTATTATTATTATTATTATTATTATTATTATTATTATTAATTTTTTTTTTTTCTCGCTATTGCATTCGCCCCTCACACATATAGGGATTGTGAATTTAAGAATAAGGTTTAATTTATTGTTAATTCTTTACAAATGTTACACATTTAATGATTAAAATATTTTAAAAAATTTACTTAAATAAATGTTGAATTTAATATGTTAATCTTGCTCAAATAGTCAAATAGTTGTTGCTCCGAGTGACATTTCGTGGTCCATTTTTGTCCTTTGAAGTAAAATAATAATTAAAAATGATTCTTTTTTATATTTCAAAATTAAAACAAGGGATCGTTTACCAAACACTTATCCGGCAAGTGTTTATCGGTAAATTTAACACTATCATTTACTTACTGACTAAGATTTTAGTCCACCAAAACAGTATCGTATACAACAATTTACCTGGTAAGCGCTTATCATGTCCTCGCTTACCGGATAAGACTCTTGATCTTTGTCTCGCTCTTACCAAGTAAGATTTTTGGTCCTTACCATATTAATTCGGTAAGGTAATGTAACTTGATGTTCACTTACCCGAGTAAGGGTTTGGTAAACAGCCCCTTAAATTTCTAACAAGTGAAAATCAATTCACAAAACCATCATTGTTTTCTAGTTCTTTTTTAAGCTTTCAAGTATGAATTGTTATAAGATGGTCTAAAATTGGATCAGAGGGAGAGCTTTTGCGCCTTTCTCCAAGAGATATGATTCGATGTCTGAATCGGCTGAAGAAAAGTGAGAGTTCAAAGTTGTCGTAAGGTCAATACACGAGGTTTTTGTTCAGTCATATCCTATACTATCCTCATACCAAACAACACCGTTAAGAAACAAGGGTGCCATTCGTATCGGCATAGAAACAACTCCAACGAGCATGTTGCATATTAGATCTTGAAATAACAAGCGGAAAAAAACGACAACTAACACCAAGTCGAAGCTATGATCATCATCAAATGTAGCAGCTCAAAAAGCTACAAAGAGTTTGATCTAATTACATAGCCAAAAACAATGTCAAATATTCTGAGGAATCTGGATCAGGATTAGAATTAGAATTTCATAAGCCTAGCTCCAAAGTTTTCACTACTGCAAACAAACATGTTCATCCCTCTCAGAAACCAGCACCTCTATCATTGGTGGTTGTAATACCATCAAGAGAAGAAAAAGAGAACTGGCTAGCCTGCCTGCCTGCCTGGCAATACTCATTCTTTAAAGATTTTGCTAACCCTCTTCAGCCCATTGGATGTCGTCTCCTGCAATATAAAAAGTTAAATCGACCATTTTATCCTGAAATGGTATCTAAGCAAAAGGTTGATTACGAGCAACCCTGACCAGCCTCACATGGAACCCGCCCCCTAGGAGCATTTGAGAGTTGACTCAGCGGCTGAGGCTAACGGAGGGGTTCAAGCCAGTCCCTACAGGATTGAAACTTGAACCTGTTGCGTATTTGAGCAAAGTTGCTCCGTCCCTTGGCAAACTGAGTTACAAGCCCCTTGTATCATGACCATGTTCTTTTTGCCAAATTTCTATGCTAAATATACCCAATTGCTCCCATATCATTTTGTAGAACTAATTTAGGTCCATAAAATTGACATTTATTTCTAGGAAACACCCATCTTTTATTTTTTTGTCAACTTTCTACATGAAGAAACAAATGGTGCTGGTGGCAACAATACTGACAACTCGCTAAGTTATCTTCCATTTGGTCAAGATAATGACTAGCTTTCCTTTATGCCTATAGTTACTACTTACTAGAAGCTACTTCCAAAAAAGGCCATTGTTTGTGTGTATTTAGACGTTGACTAATAGTCAAATACATTATATATAAAGTCAATTGTTGCAAATATAATGGGACGTGTGTATTTGAATGATAAAAAGAGAACATAATATTAATTAGTATACACCTAAAAAAAGACCAAGTGACCTCTAGCCCAGTGGTATCAATGGTCTCTACAACCCTTTGGTTGTGAGTTGAAGTCCCTCGAGACATCATATAATATCATTTTTGTTGACCATTTTAAAAAAGAAGATATAATTTCAAAAGGAAATGGAGGTAGGCATCATTGACACCATAGAATGGATCCCATTTGCTATGAGAACCGAGATGAGACCCAAAAAGATGAATAATAAAAGATGCAAGTAGATGGTGTAAACAAGTAGCAGTTGGCAATCATGAAAGTTGGAATGCACCATGGTGCATGGACAAAAAAGATGGTGGAAGATTACCTCTTGGATCGGCGGTCTTCATCATAATCCATTACTCCACCAGGTTCAGAGAAAATCCCGTGCCCTCGGAAGTCCATGTCAGCCTGCTCATAGTTTGTAACTTCTGCCACAACGTAAGTAAGACATATCGACAAACATATCCAGTATGGAATATTCCTACTTCACTTTCTCTCCGAGATAATGAATGTTAGCAACTTGGAATTGCACTGAATTATCCACTACCACACAGCTTAAGGCAGAAGAGATTAAGATCATCCACCGAACTATTTATGCATCTACAACTAACTAGACTGGATAAATAGCAAAGTTATAATGTTGCCAAAGTTCTCTTCTAAAAAAACAAATACATCTCTCAAGTTTTAAGATGGGGTATCATCTGAAATCTGAAAAGGGGGGTTGGTTACCAAAAACCCATTTATCTTAATGGACCATTTGCCGATTTAATAGTGTAGTATATCTTTAGCTAATTTGACAAACGTTTTTGTCTCTCTTCTCCAATCAATATCAGGTCAAAAAAATGTACAGCGGTCTAATGTATCATTACAATATATATGTATATGTAGGGGCACAATCGAATGGAAACCTCAAAAATTTGGAGGATAACTTGCAAAAATCAAATTTGTATTGTATTTGAGATATTTTAGATTAAAGAAGATGGTTTTGTATTTTAGTTTACAACATAAAGATTTTTTATATATGTATTTTGGGAAGGTGCCATGTATATAGAATGGATGTGTCAAATCCCCCCCCCCCCCCCCCTCTTCACTCAACTTCCTTTGAGAATTACAATTGGTTAGAGTTTTCCTATTTATTACAAAATTGCCACCATGCATAATATCCCTTGATCAAACTCTTCAGACGATTGTTACTTGGTTTGCAACATTTTTTGAGGTCCTAATTTGATTGCCCCCGCCCCCGCCCCCGGTCCCGGTATATGTATATATGTATGTATTATGTATTTCGTATTATGTATTATGGATTATGTATTACGTATTATGGATTATGTATTACGTATTATGTATCATGTATCATGTATCATGCATTATGTATTATGTATATATAAGCATTGTGGAATGACAGAGAAGCAATCTGGTACCAGAATGCCAGTCAATTTAAAAAACGAATATTTGGCAAAATAGATAACAGTCATTGTTGTTTGTAAAACTCATGATTGGTTGACAGTACATTTGTCCTTTTGATGCTCAACATTCAATAACTTTATTTTAAAATATGCATAAGAATAATGGTCCTTGGCAATCCTAAACAGAACATATAATCAAGCCTTACAAAACCAGGTGATCGAGTAGACTTGCCCAATCTCAAACACCCATAAATTTACCAAAACTGTTTGCAGGAATACATGCTCAGTATCAGCAGGTCAATATGATCTTATAAGAAGAAACACATCATTTACAAACAAAAGTTAACATAAAAAAGGAATGGTGCTGACCTTGAGGGAGAGTGCATTCTTCACTTCTTCAAGCCTTTCTTCATTTTCCTTTTTATGTTTCTTGTCCAGTTCACTCATGGTGTCTGCCCATTTTATCTTCTCTTGAATTGAAATAAGTAAATTATCTGACGTACCCAACCTACAGAATGCCACAAATGTTACGGATGAGAACCACAAATGACTAAATAAGTGCTCTATAATGGATAATTGAGAAAATTTGCAAAAGATGATTTTTTTTAATCTTTTTGCATGTTCAACTCCATCACAAACATGAAAATCTAGAAATGGAACAGATAAGGAAGAAGTTAGGCAAACTTATGAGGTTATTTTCAAGAACAAAGTCTTTATTAATTGGTTGTCTTTGCAAGGAGTGTATACAAGTCACCTTTAGTTTCATAGGTGGTATGCACTTTTGGACCACCCTCTCCCTCCCATGATCAACTTCCCATTTGGGTCCAATTTGGGATGTCCCATGAAACTTGCATAAGTTCCCTATCCTGGAAAGTTACCAAGGTAAATTACCTATTTACCTATTACTATCATTACAAATAGACTGATGTTGTAGATATGGGTCCACAAATATTCAAACATTTTTTTCCTAAGACTATCATTGTGTCCTCGAAACCATTTTTACGAAGAAAAGGAAAGGAAATGGATGGAAAGGGGAGGAAGTAAAAAACTCGTGTTCTCGAAACCTTTTTAGGAGAGAAAGGAAAGGAAACGGAAGGAAAATAATGATGAGTTTCCTCCCAAAACTTTCCTTCTGAATGTGGGAGGAAAGGGAAGGAAAGGAAAGAAAAGAAATTAAAACATTTAAAAAATTTACAAAACTACCCAACCTTTCATTATAAAGAAAATATTTTTAAGAGGTATATTTGTAAAAATGACATCTTTCCTTTCCTTTCTCGACTGTTCAAGAACATGAAAATTGTTTTCTTACTTTTCCTTTCTTTCCTTTTCCTTCCCTTTCGACAATACAAATAAAAAAATTATTTTCCTTTCCTTTCTTTTCCCTCCCTTTCTTTTCCCTCCCTTTCTTTTCCATCCATTTCTTTTCTTTTCTCTCCAGATTAGAGAACACAGAGTATAGGTGAAGTCAAATGTTGCAATATTCATTGGAAGAGAGTATACAGCTATATAGATCCCATTCTTCTTGAGAGAGGATCATTGCAACCTCAATTTTCTAAATTAACACTACAAAATGGTGAATTGTCAACCTTCAAGAACTTGAGAAGTATTAGCGTCTATTTCCGCAATCGGATACATAATTGCATGATCTAGTGGCAAAATCCTAATAAGTAATAACATAATACTATTTCGTAAAACAATGATGTGGACATTTTTTAGGGCCTTAGAACTATATATATTATTTTAAGAAAAATCATCAGAGCATGACTCTGCTCCCTTTTAACTCTTTATATGGCAATCATCGACTCTCACTCCATCCTATTGATGCCAGCAATCTCCCATCTAACCCCCTATACTTACTAATGTGAACTTCGCCATGTATTTTCTTTAATCATCCAAACAAAGTGTATACATCCTAAAAGACACATTCTATTAATTTACTTGATCACCTCAAACAGAGACAAGAATTTAAACATTAAGATAAAAACTTGCTACAGAAATGCAAAATTACATGTGGGTTGACCGAATTACCTTGCTAGTTCAAATAAATTTCAGGATAGACATAAACCTATATGAAAAAGACTAGGGTAATGGGAAAATGGAAGCCAAAATTATGACAAAAAAAAGAAGTGAAATATCGACGGACAGCAAGCAGTCAAATGTTTACTGGATGAGCAAAAAATTGTCAAAAGCACCATGCTAGATTGTTTGCTTTATCCACTCTAAACTCAAGCATGAAACTTCAAAACAAGAAAGTTGATACAGCAAGGGACTAAGGGCAAATATGGAGAGAAGTGATTGATATATCTTAGTTTTGAGTACGAACACATGATTTGGAAGGTCGACATAAAATTTGCAACATGTGACATACGGGTGTGTTTACCTACTTATCTGTATGGCATTAGTGTTAACCTAATTTGCAGTTGAAATCAGTGTTGCTTAATTTGTGGTACAAGTTGGTTCATGAAATGGTAAAGAGTGAATGGTGATGGTACGTGTCGACGTGTCTTTATGTATGTGGTTTTATGGGGTAACGTCATATGGTGTGCAATTTTGATGTGATACCTGAAATATGTAAATTCAATACAATATAAGCACTCATACATGCCAGGATGTTAAATACAATTACGCGTTATCCACTTCATATATGTCTAGACTGTACCAATTGAAGACAAACTTCGTAATCAACCATTTTGGAAATGAAAATGAAAAGAGGAGCAAGTACAAGTAGATAAGCCTAGTTTTCTTCCCATCATGTTATGGTGGTGTAATGCCATGGAGAATGTCTCTTTGTGGAAAAGCTCAAAAGAAGACAAGTTGCAATGGAGCCCTTGATTCTTCTAGTTCTTACCCACTGTCACATTAAAAAGGTTGTCCTCAAGTGTAAATTCGCACTTCTTACCTATTTATCAATTTCTTTTTCAAGGTCTTTTGAGCTAGTACTTTTATTTTGATCTGTGCATTCATTTGCATATCATTCAAACTACATGCCTATGCATTAGAAACCAGAAAGTGAGAGCTTTTAAGAAAAACAAAGCACAAATAGTTTCTCTTCCTTTCTACAGATGAAGAATTGCATACATATTATCTCACATCACCACCAAATTTTCTCCCTCTCAGAGCCTAAAATGACTGTTTGCCACCCCTCACCTCACCAGATCTCTGTCAACCTCCTACATCACTCGTTGAGCCCCAATGTGGCTTTATGGGTAAAGAAACATTAGATATTCAGGTGAAATGAGTGTCTTTTAGTTTCCACACTCAGTTAACAAAGGATCTAGATGCTTCACTGCTGAAACCGTAAATGAATATTTCGCAAACCAATAACTATCTCAAAGAAACAATATGGTAAATTCAATACCAAATTGCAAGAAACAGCCATATCTAATTTAAGGTTACCAATCCGATAGTGTATGTATCATATTCCCTAATTGTCCAGGCCTGAGATCCCTGCCTGCCGCAAATTGCACCTACAATGACAGAATATTAAGTAATAACAAATTATATGGAGGGTTGGGTTCCGGTGAGAAGGATAGTTAAGGTGAGAAGCATAAGACGGTATCTCCACCCTTTGGATGCACATTAGGATGAGATGCACCGGATCAATCCCTGTATCAAGCACGATTCATGGGTGGGTTTGAGATTAAAAGTGATCAAGGGTCCAAATCCCATCTTACGCTTCTCACCTCAACTCTCCTCACACGATCATTCGCCATTATATGGAAAAGGTAAATGTGCATACACTAACTTAAAGAGATAAAACTAAAGAGTGAACCATGTAAGATAGATACGAGGTCACACCTCAAAACATCTTCGCAACTGATCTAGCTTGCCCCTTACTATACCCTACACAGAGGGAACAAATGAAATACAAAGTTAGTAATTGCATACATATAGGAGAAATCCAAAATCCAAGACAGTAAGAGTATATGATCAAATCAATTAAATGAAAACAGAAGTTACAAAGCCGCAAAGAAATGTTTTAGAGTACAATTCTTAGAACTAACAATAGAGAAATCAGTCCTAAAAATCGGGAAGGTTTTAATTTTACTATTTGTAAGTGATTCCTTCAAGTCCGCAAAAGCATATAATTTAAAGCATGAATTATAGTCATAGGATAACACCTACCACATACATGCACTCGTTGATAAGAAAATCTTCAAGCTCACGGACATTTACAACATCCAACTCATGCATCAGCACATCATATGGGAGTACCTGAAAGTGCCCCAACATCAGAAACCAAGGACAGCATAAGCAGGCAATGTAACATAAATACATAATAAATATGGTTCACTTCGTTCTTTCATCTAGCTTCCGAAGGTCGATTGAGCAAAAAGAATAGCATTGAAATGATAAATATGTGCCTCCACATTAAGACCCCCCCTCCTCCTTCCACTTCTCTAACATCATCCAACACTCCTTTCCTCAACGAAAGAGTACTCCTTCCAAGGTTGCCCTTTAGTAATAGATGAGGAAAGTAATCTAAGACTTCCACCACTACAAAAATAATATACATATAACATATTGGTCCCCCACCACTATGCAAAACAAATACAAAGACCAAGAGTACTGTTAGAGTTAGTTGTAAATACTAATTATGTGTGGGATTGTTTTCACTTGTTTCTAGTACTTCTATAACTGCCCGTTTCCAACATCAATGTTATCATATGAAGACGTAGGTAAAGGTGGTCTCAGTTAGTTAAATGATCACTGTAAAGAGCTAAATGGAGAGGCATTAGATACATTTAAGAAACTGAGTTCTAGAGGATTCTAACAATGTGGTTAAAGTACTAAATATTGCAAATAAGTGATCATGTTTTGAACACTGTTAAAAGTTAGGTGAATGTTTTTACAACTGATAAGAATATGGATGGAAAAATGATGTAGCACTTTAGTGCAGTTTTAAAAAAAATCGCGAAGATGACATGCTGACTTGGAATTTTTAATAAAAAAGCATTGAATAAATAAAAACTAATGTACAAATATAAGTGCATTAAGTACATGTTGACCACTAGAAAAATCATACGAACAACGATAATGCAACTTGTACAAAACTCAATTGAGTACCAATGTGTTAAATATAATTAATAAAAACAATTTCACTATGATCATAAACCTAATCTAAATATACAAGTACCACAGGAATTTAATACAAGGCACTTGATATAAATTCGACAGAAGCAACAGATTTTTGGTCCTTTTTTATGATTTAAATTGAACCAAGTGTTTTATTACTTTTACATTTTCATTTACCAAACCAAATAAATCCCACACCGAGTAGGGTGGGAAGGGTAGTATGTACCCAAACCTTACCTCTATCCTAGTCCTTCATCTCCACTCTTACATTTTTATTGTTTTATTAGTTTCTTTGGTATTTGAAAGTTTATATTAGTTTTATGATTTCAGTGAAATTATTGTTTTCTCAATAAATTAAATACATTAGTACTTTGACAGTAAGATTGGGTACGTAAAAGTTGCATTTATTATTTGTACATATGATTTTGTTTGTATTAGTCAACATGTATTTAATGCACTTATATTTGTACATTATTCATTATTAAAGATGTCAGAATAATGGTGAAATTAAACTTCATTTGAGTAACTTTTTTAAATATTAATCTATTTGACTACTTTCTCATATTCTAATCATTTTTATTCACTCTCAGTACCACTTCTTTTTGTTATGCTTTCCTTTTTCAGTTCATCCACAATTGAAGTGTGTATATACATATATATATGAAAAGGAACATGATTATCAAAAACATTCATATATCAATTCTACCAGTGCTTATAATGTGCTGGGTTGATCACACTACGTCAGACTATTGACCCTCACTGCAACAATACATGCAAGGTACAATACCTTGTTAGCCTCGGCTAGTGTGAGCATAGTGAGTTGTTTTAGCTTGAGGACCTGATCACGCGTCAGCTGTGGAAGATTACTAGCATTACCTACATATCATAACACAAAGGATAAAAACTTTGACTCCCAATATAACATGAAAATAAAAGTAATTGTGGTAGATAATCTGGATATAATTCATGTGCACGCTTCCAATCATCCAAAAGTACACAACGGTCTTAAACAAGGAAGCCTCAATATTTAAGACCCTTAATCTCGCATGCTACAAGGAAAAACAAAACGCAGTGATACATGTGAGATCTATCCAGGTGTTTCTGATGAGATCAAGAGACTTGCAAACAGATTGATAGTAAGAGAATAAGAATTATGGCCAATCAGATTACTAAGAGAATTCAAAGCACATACAGAAAAGAGTTCCAGGGAAGAACCTCCCTCTCTCAAAGCGAAAGCTAAGAGCCAAAATACCAAAATAGTTCCCAATACCCATGACGAACTGCCCCTCCTCCTATTTAGAGCCAAAATCCCTTCCTGTTATAACAAACTAGACCCATTTTCCCTTATTGCCCCTTTTAGCCTTCTAGAATATACTTTCCATATATATGCTTGGGTTAGGCACATCTTGGGCCAATCCAATCGGAATTGTAACAGTTTCACGATATTTCATGGCTACTACACGAAAAGTTCCACTCTAGTGAACTGCAACAATGCTATGCTAAATTTTAATATCTAGAATGTCTCCGGCAGCAATCGTATCATATATCATGCTGAAATGGAACTACTGGCAAATACATAAGTTCGAGACTAACAAGAAGAAGAAAAATGTTGAAATCTTAATACCCATAGCAAGGAGCAAGACAAAGTGATATGCTAGGATAAATCAAGCCTCGTAATACAGAACATAGAGAGTTCAGCAGCAACAAGCAAAGCAATATTCTAAAATAATTATAAAAATTGACTTGAGAAAGTGAACAAATACTATGAAAAACAAAATCCCATACACAAGTTATGTCAAAAAAAAAAAAAAAACTCAAGAACCGCATGCTGAAAAAAACATAGTCATGTCGTTAAACTCATAGAAGTACCACCCTTTCAGTGTGACCTGTTTATCCTTTTCTCCTTTGACATTGTACTAGGTAAATTACAGTTACATAACGAGGGTATATAAATGGATAAAATCAAGAGCATCATGAGAATTCATTTGAAAATGTTGCTTAATGCATAAAGACGGTTTGATATTAACATGTATTACATGGCATGCCAATCAAAAGATGAACCATAGAAAAAAATTATGAGTAACAAAAAAAAAGCATTCCATATGAAAGCATGAAGCCCCTTGAAAGATTTAGAGTTCAATCTCTCCTTTCCATCAATCAATGCATTTCATATGGATACTTTAATTTTACTTTTGACTGTCCTCTTATGCAAAGTCCTTCCTTCTTATTTTGATAGAGGCATAATGAGATGTGATAGAAGTATAAAACTTGACTATTAATGTTTATAAGGTTACACTGATCTTGGAATCAATATGCACAAATTAAAAACTCGTATTATATACATATTAACTAACAATAAAAAATTAAAAGCAGTTGTTTAAATGATAAAGGACATAAAGTGTGTGCACGTAAATATGTACATCAATGTATTTACCATATTCCTGTTACTATTACTAAACTAATTTTACTTTTTAAAATAAATATTCCTAATAAATAATTGGAGTTAATTTATAACTGTATATAGTAACCATGTACAAGCACTCCTATTGCAAAATGTTGTAACAAGACGAGGTAGGGAACCTACTCTTGTATTCACTCCATGTTCCATGAGCAAACATCTGAAGCAAATCAAGGTATATAGAATGTTCCGTTCCTTGAAGCTGCACAGAAATTGCTTGATTAGAATATGAAAAGAAGAACATCAAAGAACTTGCAACGGCAATAGTAAAGTGAATTGGTGGGAGAATTGGAAAAACCAAGTCATTTACAGTTATCCTAATACCCTTTTAGGCTTGTCAGTCATATTGCACGAGGCCTGCTATTTCAGGGACATTGATTTGAAATAAGATGTCCTTGATTCAAATAATAAATACAAAAACTTGGTAGATATAACAGTGAGGATAAAAAACCATGCTAGAAAGCTGGGTAAATTTCCCTTTAGATGTTAATACAGCAAAATAATTATCAGCAAGCTACACCATATGAAACATATACAAATCACAAAGACAGAAAATACAGGAATTCTGTGAAAATTAAAACATCTTTGTATAGCAATGTAAAGCCATTCAGATAGCCATATAGTGTATGATTGTCTACTAATTCTACAAACATAGGAGGAGATGGTCATTACAGAGATACATTGTGCATCTGTCACCAAAAAGAGCAAAATATATATAGCAGTAGGCCAGTAGCTAATGGTCAATAGTCCAGATAATGATATTCTTGAGTGTATTTATGATAGACATGTTATACAATCAGTCAACCACTAAGAGGTTGCTCTCCTTATACAAATAAACTCACAATCTCACATCTTACATTACATGAGAAGCTTTCAAACCTCACTGCCCATCCAACTACAAAAGCTTATGATAGGTCGAGTAAATATCAAAGGTTGGTAAATTGGTATTAGAAGTTCAGAACAAATAGTTACAAGATGCCTATTCTGGGCAGTCAATAGTTGGTACTATAGCGGTTAGCAATCCTTGACTGCTACGCAATTGCAGTATCACGGTGACAAACTGCGGTACCGCTATTATCGACACAATTTTTAATTAAAATAGCACCATGGAAACTGATTACTTTGGACTTTTTTCCCTAGCATATCCAGTGAACGCCAGAGGCCCATAAAAGTGAAATTAGACATCAACTTGGTGGCCCCAAAAAGTGATGATCTCGTGAATAGTAGAAGGATGAATTGTGTCACTGATAGAAGGATATACTGGGAGCTAGAAGAAAGAAGAATATGATTTGTGAAAGGAAGAACAATATGTCGTTGTCATCGACTTGATATGGTGTTTGGTTTTCTATCCCTCCCGTTATTTCTGTCCACTCCTCTCATTATCATATTGTCTTTGAGTGATAGGTGTACTTGAAGAAGAAGCAGAAGAATGGTGACTCTTACTTTGAACTTTAGCCGAATCAATATTGGAAGCAAACCTTTTGATTTTGTTATATAACATGAAACACTTATCTATAGTGTGCCCAATCTTTTTGCAATAACCACAAACTTGATTATTTTTCTTATAAGAGAAACCCGTTCGCTGACATAGTTGATGATTAGCTTAGACTATTCACCAACGCAAAATATATGTCCCGGAGTTTTTCATCTTGGTCAAATATGCAGAAACATACATAGCAGATAACTACTATTAAATATATATTACATATATTAGATACTGCATATATATATATATGTGTGTGTGTGTGTATCACAAGAACAAGAACTGCTATGTATTTCCGCTTTACCACCGATATTTCCTGCATAGCAAATCAAACACATGACCACGCTTCCAGATTAGAAGCATATAACTGCTTAGCGCTTATATTAATTGTAATCAACCTTGTTAAAAGTAAAACAAAATATCATCAAAACTTTGTGCTTGATACTAGAATCTAGATGTATGTAGCAGACCACCTATTTACATGCCTTGAATTATTCTTGGACAATTTAAATCGTAACTGCTAAAGTCGAACTGATAGTAGTAGCGCATCAACAAGTGCCTTAGAGTCGCATTGAACCTGATCATTGACTCATATCAACAGTTTCTGATTCCCTGGGGCCTGGATTATTCACTCAAGCCATGGGTAACTACTTCTCATATGAAGACAAGTGGGTATATATTGCATTTGGTTCTTTTTAACTGAATTCAACCCTGCTCAGCTGCTTCTATACGGAAATTTTCTTTCAGAAAAATCCATAACCCTTGCAAATCAAGGCATAAAGTAACTCATACATTGTGCATGCATTAAATTATTATATAGCAAGTAGGCAACCCTTGCCTCAACTCTCAAGCAAAGTTACCTGGTTCTGGTATGGGTTTATTTGCCATATGAAGCGCGATATCGGTAGCTATTACTACTCAGTTTGAGAAAGGTGTCACAGTCCATATGTCAACTGGGTAACGGTGTGTATGTGGGTGTGTAGATCTATTCATGTGTTATGCACTGTAAGTGTTATGAATCTAAACAATCTGAGGAGTCTTGATATGATGTTACCATAATTCCACTAAATTAGGTAAATGATTAATAGTCTATTTCCATACAGAGAGAGTAACGCCTGAAGGAATATATAGCAATATAATATATATGTAAAATAAAAGCTTATTTTATTGTTGGGAAGGAATTAAATAAGGTATAAGATTTTGGCTCCAACTCTCAATCTTACTATCTCTATGTCTATCTTCATATATCTCTGTTGCATTATAACAACTGATAGCGAAGAAGATCGGAGATAGTTGAGTCACATAGATTGTTTGCATTATCAAGTTTGTTAAACAGTCTGTTGAGTCGAACAAATTATTCTTACCTGATTTGTGGTACAGTTTGATAGCTGCTATTCGCAACTCAAGTGGGCCTACTGGGTCAGTAACATTGTGATCACATTATGGCAATCTGATTCGCTTGAGTTATACTTTGCATATTTTTTATGATTAAATATTTTTTGAACAGGAGATCATATTTCATAGAGGTTCATTATCTTGTATTCAAAGGTTTATTATCTGATATTGCAACCAGTAAGAGAGTTGCCTGTGTGAATTACATATTTATCTTGGTTGAACAAAAAGGGTATTATTCAGTACACAGACAATGTTAATTTACTGAACAACAAAATTGCCTCAAATAGTGACAAAATAATTTTAAAAAAACGCAGAAATATCAAGGGTATCTAGACCTTAGAAACAAAAAAATATTCAATGCCGAAACAAACATAATCTGATCCAGAACATGGTTCAATGAAGTCAGCAAACACGAAAAAATAGCAAATCTCAGCAACACCAAGCGCACTGAAGTGATCATGAGGAATGGTGGAAATCTGGCATCAACTAAATTTAAGAAAAAAAAAAAAGAGGAACCTCAAATATTAACTATTAAATAAAGGTTAATCAACAAACTAAGAACCCAACCCATCAAGGTCATATAAAGAGTAGTATGTATCTTGATTCCTATTCTTGAAAGACATACATTTGATACAACTATTGAAAATAAACTCCTCTCATAAATCTATGCAAACAGAAACCGATGTAAGCATCGTTAAAAACACAATAATTTGGTAGCAAGAAACTAATCATACTGGTAATAGCAAAACACATAAAACGATGGCTAAAATTCAGACCTCGATGATATTAGGGACAGCAAGAATCTCGGAGAAAGCGAACAGGGAAGGATGTGAAGTGGCCTCCACGATGACATTTGCGAGAGCTGATGATGAACCCTTAATGATGGACGCTTGTTTGACGAAGTTTTCGATGTGCTCTGCTTGCTTTTGTTCGATATCCATCACGACGACGATGACGATCTCTAAAGTGCGAGATCAAAACTTAGCAGAATTAGATTGTTGGCAATTCAGGAAAATTCAAAGAGTTTCACAAATTAGGGTTCGAAATCAGAAGGGGTTTTAGGGGTTTTTGAAGGATCTTTTTGGTGCCCTTTTCACTCTCTTCTATTTACAGTGATATTCGTATTTTCCTCTGTATCTTAGCGCTGTATGTTCGCGACTGTATGTAGAGGTTGCAAAAGCAGCACTTTGTGAAGTAAGGGGTGCTTGGGATTGCTCAAAGCTTATTAACTTATTTTGTTTTGGTAGCGATAAAAAACAGTTTTTAGTGTTTGGACGGTGAAAAAAATAATATTTAGACAGTATAATATGGAAGTTTTGATAAATTACTCTCTTCTAACTTATTAATTTATTTTGGTATGGTACCTGTAATAAACAGTTTTTAGTGTTTGAACGGAAAAAAGGGTATCTCAACTATTTTATCAACTTATCTAATGTGGTACCGTCGTAAGCTAATACAAACGTTTTTTATAAAACTTTGATTTGTCACCACATGAGTTGATAAACATTTTTTGTATATATATATTCAATAACTATGAATATATAATTGAATGTGATATAATTAAGATTTAAGAAGTATTGATAAGTTGTATCAAATAGTTGATGATGAAAAAAACAAACTATGAGTAAACTAGAGAAAACAATATATCGAATGTTAGAATAATATTTTGATGTACCAAAGTACCAACCTGGCCAACTTGTACAGCTTGGGCTGGGTTGGTTTGTACTCTGATTTTATTTGGGTTAAGTTGAGTTGAGATTTTTCAAACAACAAGCATTCAACCCAATCAACCTAACCTATGTTGGGGACAATGGCGGATCCAGAATCTTTTAATAATTGGAGGCAGATTTAGGGGCGTCGAACGAATTTCGAAACCAAGTAAATTCATCCGAACCAAAACGGTTTTGGGTTTTCATTTCGATTTAACAGTTTGGTTAGCTAAATAAATATTACTTTATATGTTCGGTTTTTAGTTAATTTTTTACTATTAAATTTAACGTAAATGAACACATTACACGATAATACAAAATTCGACTAGTTCATTAAATAAACAAATAATCAAGACCAGTAAAGCATGTTGCCACTTGACATTAAACCAATATGTAACAAACCTTGTGAAAGATTAATTATAATTTGTAATAGTTAATAAACATATAAAGGGCCGTTTGCCAAACACTTATCCGGTAAGCGCTTACCAGTAAAATTCAACATTATCACTTATTGACCGGGTAAGATTTTAGTCAACAAAAATGGCATCGTATGCAACAATTTACCCTGTAAGCGCTAACCATGGTAAGAATCATCGTCCTCACTTACCGGGTAAGATTCGTGGTCCTTGTCTTGCTCTTGCCGGGTAAGATTCTTGGTTCTCTACCATTTTTATCTTGTAAGTTAATGTGATTTGGTAAACGTTTACCCGAATAAGCGTTTAGTAAACGGCCCCTAAGTTAACAATGACTAGCAAAAATCAGAGGGCATGAAGCCAATAAATTATATTTTGTTAGAAAGAAATCACAAGCAAAAAGACAAAAAATCATAATTAAAAGACAAAGCAATAGCAAGTTCTAAATTAAAATTGCAAGTTTTTATATACCCGCGACACGTGTCACACTGTAATATTGTCAAGGAGTACGTAAACCTATACATAGAGTCGCAAACAGAAAATACGTATGTTTTGATATGGTTAGTGAATAACCAGAAACCCGAATAATATCATGTTGATTGTTAAATCGTTATTTTAGCAGAATAATTAAAGTATATGTTAAAAGTGTATTTACGATAATTACAGAGTTATGTGTGTAAATATATTTACATATATAATTTTATTATGACTAACAAGATTAAATTAAACCTTTATTTAGACCTACTGGACTTGTAAATAGACTGGCTTAAGAATTATAACAAGTCCGACCCATGTTTGGAAATAATGTCTATGACTATGTCGATCTATAACTCCAATGGTCACTTGCGGTTTTTGATCGTTTGTGTTGTCTTTTTGGCATTCTAAAAAATATATACAAGTGTCATGGTGTATGGTGTAAGATACCAACTTACAAAACGCAAAAAACATAAAAAAAACGTTCACAATTCTCGGTTTCTTGCTATATTTTGTGACTTCGACTCATATTCATTTCTCACTCCCACTTCACAATTTTCATTTCTTTCTCTCTTTGTCTTACAAAATGGTCGGTGAACAACATGATGCATCAAACGAACAAGTTGCCCAATTTCTCGCTGAGCACGGACGAAAGCCCGAGATTTGGAATTCATACAACTTGGTGATCCTCACGAACGGGAAAAGAAAGACACAATGCAAAATGTGTCAAACTCTCCATACGACGGAAAGAAATTATACTTTATAGCGACATACTGAAAAACGTGTCCGCAGTTGGGTAGGGACCGGTTGGGACCGAGACCAGTTACACGTAACCGGTTATGGATCAAGTTAAACGAGCTCGAGTTTGATGACCAAGACCTGGACCGGTTATGAATATCATTGTTCCGAAAATTGCTTAGGTATAACAGTAAGGAAAAGGTACTAGTAAAATACTTGTCTCTTTTAGAGCTATAGCAGAAGCCAAGGAACCTAGATCTCCCCAACGATCCAAACATATTCTTAGAAGATATCAACTCAATAGAGAGATTATTGAAAGAGGCGATGTTAGTATAAGTAGAGTGTCAACTGAAAGTAATGTTGTTGTTCCACGAACTAAGTCGTTTACAAAACAGGAGCATAAAAGGCTATTGTAGATTGTTGGTCCCAAAAGGGTCTACAAGAATACTAAACAGGTTGTAGAAGGGG